TGAACATATCGTCCCATCGGCTGTCGATCGTATCAACAATTGTGAGAAAAAATGAAACAAATTGTAAAAGAGTTGACTTTGACGCCCAAAGGGTTAATTGTGGTTATAGTAAACAAATAAACAATTTTCGTCATTGTACAAATTAATTAAATAAGAGGAAGATGAGTAAAAACGGGCAAAACTACGACTTTTAGAAGGGTTCTTGTTTGAAATCAAGTCTGGTTATCCTTGTTCATTTGAGGCGTTTGATTCCTGTCAACCGCTCATATTACAACTTGAAAAAAACACGTATTTTACACGCGATGTACACGTCGCATGGGACCCATATCGAACAAGACGTCTATATTGCTTTAATGTATGTTTTATTTATGTACAGGGTTCGCGCACGAGTAGAGAAACATCAAGAAGTTTGAACAAACTCTCAACCAGGCGGCGAATAATTCCAACTCCGCCGGCGTCATCATTACGAGACCGGGAAAAGAGCTTTGTACTGGATAGCATTATATCAGAAAAACGCGTTACTCGCTGGAAGCCGTTGATTCCACCTTACAATGCCAGGTTTGATCCGCATGCAAACCACTACTTCAAGTTTAAGGGTGTACCAGAACTCATCGACCTCACCTGTACACTAAAACCAGTAAGTTAACTTTTCTAAATTGTAACAAACATTTTTTAAAGTTACAGTAACATGAATAAAGCCATGTAAGTCAGTTATGGTGGCAGGGGAGACGGACTAAATAATAATCGACAGGGCATATCCTAATAACGACGTCAGAGAAAGGGAACGAAGAGGTGATTAGGCACACACAATTTAAATAACAGGAAATAATTCTCAGTATTTGTTGCATAATTTTAATTTTATTTGGCTGAATCTTGGATGTACATGAAAAGCATGAAGAATCTTTCGACGTCATAAATTAAATACAACACAAATATGCATAAAAATAACGCTGTATAAATACACGTGCGTGAGTTTGCAGAGGACATGTCGACATTTAAAAACCCGATACCCCAAGTTAATATCAAGTTTGAGCCAAGACAGGAATTATTACAATACAAACAAGAGAACGGACAAAAAAGATTGTTCGGGTACTTGACGATTCAAATCGTGCATGGACGTCTCATATGACGTCACAACATTGTGACCTGTGGGGTTTAATACCTCGTGTTAAGGAGATACGGTTTATACGGCTAACCCGGCGTTGAACATGTTATGAAAGACAACGATACCGCCTAGAACACAGCGTGTTGTAACCATGGCAATTAAGTGTGTCCAGGTGGTCCGAAAGTGTTAATCGGTGACTTCCTGGGAACTATGGACAGGTGTTGATAATAGAGCTTAATGTCAACAACAAAAATGTCAAAAAGCACAAACAAGTCTACGTTTATGTTCTACGTTTTAGTTTTATTAATAGCGACCGTGGTTGATATAGCGAGATTTGATGAAGTCTCATGTGAATTCGAGTTGAAATCAAAGTTTGCATATTCTGAGCATATGACAATGCATTATGGGAGCGAATGTTCCATTGAATATACCGGAAAAATATTATCACATTAAAAACTTAAATTAAATTTAAGGCAATTTATAAGACTATTAGCATTCTTAATAATAATAATAATAATAATAATAATAATAATAATAATAATAATAATAATAATAATAATAATAATAATAATAATAATAATAATAATAATAATAATACTATACTAGTACATATACTTCAATCTTTATGTCCAAGAAACAATGTTCCTATATAAACCAATTTGAAATTATAACACATTGCAAATATAGTCTTTGTCTTTTTTTTTTAACTCTTTATTCTCGAAAATAATTATCCGATGATGTACTCTCGATTTTTCATTTTCTATACGCTGTTGACCTTTATTATTCAAAATATGTTTTCACATCGTTCTAACCCCACCCGAAAAATCTCTCATTTGTGTGCAACATGCTCGTAGATTGGTCGTGTTCACATGCAGTTAACACTGTTTCCCCGAATCAGTCGCCTCAAATAGCCACAATCCGAAATCGTTCCATGTTTATACTTACTAGTACAGAATACCTCTGTATACCGAACACTTTATCGTTATGCTTACTAGTACAGAATACCTCTGTATACCGAACACTTTATCGTTATGCTTGTCCTGCGCCGATACTATTGCACGATTCTATTTGTTCAAAACTCCGCCGTTTTACGGCTTCAAAATTCGCATTCGCAATGTGATTTTGTTCTGTGAGGTTGAAGGAACCATCATCACATATCACGGAGCCCGAATGACGTAATACAAAAAATTACCACTATATTCACGTGGAAACAATAGTGCCCATGGCAACCGACGTCCAGGTTACCCACACCTTCGAATCTTAGACTGTACACACAACAGCTTCTTGTAATGATTCAAGTACCAATCAGTAATTCCATCCGACACACGCCATGGAATACAGAAACAGCTATGAACACCACAAGTAACATTACCTCAATAAACATCTAAATTATGCAAAAACATGATTAACTCAGCCA